GGAGAAATGCTCGGCGGGAAAACGGGTCGGGGGCTGGCCGAGAGGTCCTGGGCGGCTTTGCTAGTGGTCGGGTTTGTGAATTACCATCGGGTCGGAAACTCGGAGGACTGTGGCCAGCACCTCAATCTCGAGTCCATCTCCCAGGGGAAAGGTCCCGACTTTTAGTGCCACTGTTTGGAGCCTCAGCGACAGCCTAGACGCCCCGCAAGCACCTAGAGCGTTTCTCCAGGCTGAGCCCGGTCGTTCTTTTGTCTCACACCCACCCCTACTCCCGCCTGGCTCCTCAACCTCCCTGAGTACTTGGACTTGAATGCTAGTTCTTCTTACCCTGAAACTAACGTTCTTTTACTAACTGGCCACCCTCCTTCTCCCCCACTGCCAAACACACGACCTTCTTTTAAAAAGAACAAAAGTGGATCTATTGGACACAATCTTGATAACCGCTGATGGGAAAGATGCCGATAAAAGTTATAAACTCCGGAGGGAGTTAATTCCAACTCTTGAATGGTTGGTTTGAGTTAAAGAACGGTTATTCTTTTCTTTTTTTCTTTTTTATTTATTTGTTTTTGAGAAAGATTTCTACTATATGATGTGTGCTGCAATCCCTTCTTCATTCTTTCAGGTTTTGGGCAGTGGACTCAGGCACCCAAGTGAGTTTCCAGCCACTGGGTTCAGGACTGGAACAGCAGCTGGCCACGTGGGAGTCTAGGCATTTAACTACTAAGCTACCTGCTGGCCCTCTTTTTTTTCTTTTCCTAGGGTTTCTATCACAGGGTGAGTGGGTCGGCCTGAGAGAGGAGAAAGGGAGAGAGAAAAAGAGGGGAAGTGAGAAATTACACCCACGTACACACACACAACACGCCAGGATGGCCATACCAGACCCTTCTCCTCCTGAGTTTTGGGCACACAGGCACAGGCACCAGGCTTGATTTGTCAACCTACTAGATCTGGGACTCTAACTGTGCAGTTGACCATATGGGATCCAGCTGCCTTAATCTCTTTGTCACTTGCTGGCCACATCAATAGATTTTTTTTTGGGGGGGGGGTAGGTTTTTGCTACGGGGTGCATGTGCTCACCAGAAAGACACAGAGAGACAGAAAGCAGGAACTCACTCCCCCCAGGGGGGGTGGCCACTCCACAATACCTTCTCCTTTGTTCTCTGGGGATCTTGGGCACACACGCACACGCGCCCTGCATGAGTTTAAGCCACCGAGTCTGGGACTCGAACCTCAGTGGACTACGTGGGAGTCCAGCGACACAGCCATTATGCTATCTGCTGGTCCCTACATCAATAGTTTTTTTTTTAATTTAGTCATTCATTTATTTTATTATTCATTTATTTCATTTTGACCAGAGAGAAACAGAGAGAGAGGAAAAGTGAGAAAGTAAGCCACCATGTCCAGGACTTGAATTGTGGTCAGCCATGTGGGAGTGCCCAGCACCTTAACCACCATGCCACCTGCTAGTCCCCATCAATTAATTTCTAATGTAATGAGAAAGGTTAACATAAAGTTGTTTTGAAGCAGTCGTCCTTGACTACAAGGATTAATAACAAGGGTGGCATTAGTCCAAGGCTGAACAGTCTCTGGACATATATATACATGTTTTTTCAAAGTGGCCTTCAGCAAGAAAGTTGTGGTGGTTACTGCAATCAGGCAACTGTGTGTAAGAAACGTATCCCCAGAGCCTGCCAACTCTATTTTGTTAGAGTTGATGTAAGTACCTCGATTTTAATATTGACAGCTTTCACAAAGTTGCACAGCTTTTCTGCATGTTGACACTTCATTACACAGTACCTAAGGATCAGGGCCGGCAAGTGGCGTGGTGGTTAAGGGTGCCAGACTCCCACAGAACTGACGTGGGTTCATGTCCCAGACCTGGGTGCGTGCTTTCTCATTTTCTAACTTTCTCTTGCTCACTCTGTTCCTCTCTGGTCAAATTAAAATAAAGTTAAAAAAAAAAAAAAAGAAAGAAAAGATGGGACAAGCAGTTGGCTTAATGGCTGTGTCACTGGAAATCCATGTAGCTGGCCGCAGTTCGAGTCCCAGACCCAGTGGCTTAAAACTCACGCCGGGTGCGTGTATGTGTGTGCCCAAGGTCCCAAGAGGAGAATGGAGGAGAAGGGACTGCGGCGTGGCCATCCCCCCTGGGGGGTGATTTCTCGCTTTCTGTCTCTCTCTGTCTTTCTGGCGAGCGCACACACCCTATAGCAAAATTCTCTAAAAAAAAAAGAAGAAGAAAAAGAAATAGTGCCTAAAAATCATATTTATTATTTCCATGGACTCACCAAAGGAAGTCTCACTGTGGCTCCTACTTGCTGGTAGGGACCAGCAGGTAGCATAGTGGTTAAGGCACTGGACTCCCACATGGTCGGCTGCAGTTCAAGTTGCAGGGCTTGCTGCTTAAAGATCTCACCAGGCAGGGACCAGCAGTTAGCATGATGACTATGTCACTGGACTCCCATGTAGTCGACCGTGGTTCGAGTCCCGGACCCGACAGCTTAAACTCACACCAGCGTGTTTGCATGCATGCCCAAGATCGCAAGGGGAGAATAGAGGAGAAAGGATTGTGGTGTGGCCATCCCTCTTGGGGGGTGATTTCTCTCTTTCTGTCTGTCTGTCTCTCTCTGTCTTTCTGGCGAGCGCACGCGCCCTATAGCAAAAACCTCTCCAAAAAAAATAGATCTCACCAGGCACATGTGTACATGCCCAGAAATCTCAGGAAGAGAAGGGATAGAGATGCGGCTCTCCCCCCGGGGGTGGGGGGGTGATTTCTTACTTTCCCCCTTACTATCTCTCTCTGTCTCTCTCCAACAAGCACATGCACCCTATGCCAAAAATCTTTTAAAAATTAAAAACAAAACTTCCTGGTGAAGAAACTGCTGTTGAGCAGGCTGAGGCACATAGGAAAGCTGAATTCCATTTCTAGCCCATCAGAAAGCTGGGCACAATGGAGAGTTATTATTGAGGAAGGAGAACTGTGACATATCAGGACTCTGCCTTTTAAAAAATAACATTCTTGGGCCCAGCAGAGGGCGTAATGGTTATGTTGCTGAACTCCTACGTAGTCGACTATAGTTCAAATCCTCGATCCAGCAGCTTAAAACACAAGTGTGTGTGCATGTATGTTCAAAATCCTGAGAGGAGAATGAAGAAGGGATTGTGGCATGGCTCTACCTCCCGGGGGGGGGGTAATTTCCTGCTTTCTATCTCTCTGTCTCTGTCCCTCTGGCAAGCGCACACACCCTATAGCAAAAATCTTTCTTAAAAACAATAATAATAATAATGTTCTTTTCAATTTACTAGAGAAGATGTGCACTAGTGGAAGGGAGAGAGGGTAAGGAATGACCTGCTGTAGGACAGTCAGGCTGCGTTCTCTTCTCCATCATTTCGGGATTTTGTCCACATGCTACTGGCCTCTTTTTTTTTTTTCTTTTCTTTTCTTTTTTTTTTTTAGTTTTTGCTATAGGATGCACATGTTCACTGGAGAGAGACAGAGAACAAAGAGAAAGAGAGAGGGAAAATGAGAAATCACCCCCCAGGGAGCATGGGCACACAGCATTTCTCCTCTTAGGATTGTGGGCTGTGTGCCCAAATCCATTCAGCATGATTTTCAAGCCTCTGGGTCCAGGACTCAACTGCAGAGCTGGCTAGGTGGAATCCAGTTGTTCCAAGTCCTCTGCAGCATAGCCATCACCCCCAGAGGATAATTTCTCATGTTCTGTCTCTCTGATGAGAACACACGCACTATTGCAAAAATTTCTCTTAGAAAAGAAAGAAAGAAAGAAAAAGAAAAACATGCTAGGCATGTGTGGATGCCCCAAATGCCAAGAGGACGGAGAAGGGATTGCAGTGTGGTCATCCCCTAAAAGAGTGATTTCTTACTTTGTCTCTTTCTCTCCAGCAAGCTTTTCTTTTTCTTTTTTCTTTCATTTCTTTTTTTTGGGGGTGGGGGGAGGTTTTTGCTGTAGGGCACGTGCGCACGCCAGAAAGACAGAGAGACAGAAAGTGAGAAATCACCCCCCAGGGGGGATGGTCATGCCACAATCCCTTCTCCATTCTCCTCTTGGGATCTTGGGCACGCACGCACACGCACCCAGCATGAGTTTAAGCCACCAGGTCAGGGACTCAAACCGTAGTGGACTACATGGGAGTCCAGCGACATAGCTATTACACCAACTGCTGGTCCCTTCAGCAAGCTTTTCTTCCCTATAGGAAGAAAAAAAGAATCGGGGAGTCCAGCAGGTGGCATAGTGATTACAGTGCTAGACTCCTACATGGCTAACCGTGCTCGAGCCCTGGACTCAGCAGCTTAGAAATCACACTAGGCACATATGGATACATGCCCGAAATCCCAGGAGGAAAATGGAAGAGAAGAGATTACAGCGTGGCCATGCCTCCTGGGAGGTAATTTCTCATTTTCCCTCTCTCCATTTCTCTGTCTCTCTGGCAAACACACACAACCTGTGGCAAAAACTTTTTTTTTTTCTTTTTGGAGAGGTTTTTGGTATAGGGTGTGTGCACTCACCAGAAAGACAGAGAGAGACGGAGAGACAGAGAGAGAGATATCACCCCCCCCAGGGGGAATGGCCATGCAGCAATCCCTTCTTCTCCATTCTCCTCTCAAGATTTTGGGCACACATGCACACAGCATGAGTTTAAGCCACCGGGTCTAGGACTCGACCCGCAGTCCGCCACATGGAAGTTCAGTGACGTAGCCATTACGCCAACTGCTGGTCCCTATGGCAAAAAAACTTTTAAAACCAAACAAAAAAAAAGAAGAAGAAGAAGAAAGGAAATTAACTAGATTGAAAGCAGAGAGGTATGGGAGGCATTAAAGTGTTTAACTGGGCGAGAAGGGTATGTGTGTGACAATTCCGGTTTTGAAGTATGAGAAGCAAAGAAAAGGGAGAGAAATAAGAGAGGAAGCTATATCTGTAGCCCAGAGGGAAGGAAATTAGGAAGATGGTAGCAGAGATGGAACTGAAGTTGTTACAATCAGCAGATTTAATTAATCTAATCAGTGATTGACAAGACTCTGACATGGATAAATTCACATGGTATTATTATTTGAAGATTTGATAGAAAACGTAGCCGAAGGGGGCTGGCAGGTGGCGCAGTGGTTAAGGGCACAGGATTCCCACATGGCTGACCACGGTTCAAGTTTCAGATTTGGTGGCTTGCTTTGTCTCTCTCTCTTTAACTCTCGTACTGTCTCTTCCTGACCAAGTTATAAGAAAGAAAGAAAGAAAGAAAGAAAGAAAGAAAGAAAGAAAGAAAGAAAGAAAGAAAGAAAGAAAGAAGAAACAAAATGGTATTTTTAAACATGAGTGTACCGTATCTGGAGTCATCCAAGAAATGTCCAGGAGGCTACTAGTTATGACTTTTTAATATAACTATATTGTTTGCTAGAGCATGCACGTGCTCACCAGGAGAGTGTGTGCACTTCCAGGGAGAGACAGTGAGAGGGAAAGTGAGAAGTCACCCTCTGGGAGCATGGCCACTTGGCAATCTCTTCTCCCTTCTCCTTGCAGAATTGGGAGCATGTACACACATGCATTCACAATGATTTTTAAGCCTCTGAGTCCATAACTCGAACCACAGTCAGCCATTTGGGAATTCTAACCCCATATTTAGCACAGTTGTCCTTCTTTGGCAGCTGCTCGCCTGCATGCCTTTCTAGTATGGGAGTCTATTTCTTTTCTATTAAAAAGTCTTCACTGGGGTCAACAGGTGGCGGTAGTTAAGGGCACTGGATTCCCACATAGCCTACCATGGTCCAAGTCCTGAACCTGGCGACTTGCTTTCTCACTTTCCCTCTCTCTCTTCTGTCCCTCTCTGGTTAAATTTTAATTAATTAATTAATTAAAGTTAAATAAAATAATTCTTTCCAAAAAATCTTGGGACCAGCAGTTAGCGTGATGGCTATGTCGCTGGACTCCCACATAGTCGACCGTGGTTCACGTCCTAGACCCGGTGGCTTAGAACTCACACCGGGCGCGTGTGCGTGCATGCCCAAGATCCCGAGAGGAGAATGGAGGAGAAGGGATTGCGGCGTGGCCATCCCCCTTGGGGGGTGATTTCTTGCTTTCTGTTTCTCTGTCTCTCTCTGTCTGTCTGGCGAGCACACGCGCCCTATAGTGAAAACCTCCAAAAAAAAAAAAAAAAAACTTCACTACCTTTTCCTACTTTACAAGTATTGTGGTATTTTATTTTGTATCCCAGAGCATGTCTATAATCTTTTCTTTAATTAAAATTTATTTATTTAATTCCACTATTTATTATTATTTTTGAATTTGACCAGGAGAGACAGAGAGAGAGAAAGGGAAAGGGACAAAGCAAGCTGCCAGGTCTGGGACTCGAACCACAGTCACCTATGTGGAAATCCAGTGCCCTCAAACACCACACCACCTGTCGGCCCCAAATCTATAATATTAGAGAGCTAGACCTAAAGAAGCAAAGATTTTACACAACACAGCTGAACTCTCTCATCCTATAGTATAAACGCCTCTTACAATGTTTATTTTTGGGTTGAATGAATCAAAACTGTCTGGGTTGTATGTTTAAAATGTCAAATTTTAGGGGACTAGCAGGTGGCATGATGGTTAAGGCGCTGGATTCTCCCACATGACCCACCACTATACAAGTCCGGGCCTGGTGGTTTGCTTTCTCACTTTCCCTCTTTGACTCTCTCTCTCTCTCTTTGTAAGTGTGTGTCTGGTCAAATGAAAATAAATGAATGAATAAATAAAAATTAACTCTAAAAAAATTCTTTAAAAAATAAATG